GGATATATCCCAAATGTCTCTGTTGTTCTGTTGGATCCTCAGCATCAATTCTGCATTATCAACACAACTCCTAATGCCTGTCACAGCACATTCATTGTCCATCTTGTTTCCTTTCCAAATTTTTCTTCTTTTTTCTGTATTTACATTTTAAACCATATTACCCAGATTCTTGTCCAATTCCATTCTGATCTCCTGAGTTTTTGCCCACAGCTTTCTCAGGTTGATGATGGAGGTGATCTGATCAGGGTGAGATGGCAGGAGAACCTTGAATGTTGGTAGAGATTTGAGATTTGAAATGTTCTGTGCAAAAACTGGTGGGTTTTTTCTCCAGAGATGAATACATTTGCTAAGTTTGAGATTTGAGAGAGAGCCCTTGGAAGGTGCGTGGCAAGGACTCAGCTTTCTCAACAAATCTGCTTCTCTGTCAGCACTCAGACCCAAATCTGAGAATTCTGATCCAATTACTGCAAGWGAACAAAGCAATTGATCTTCCTCAAAAGCTTTGGCAGATAGAAAATAATTGTGGGGAGGGCAGGGATCAATAAGAGTTTGAGAGAAAATATTAGCCTAAATGGCTTATTGAAGTTTGGCAAAGCTGTGCRTATCTGGAAAAATCATTTTATTCCACAAGACAATATACATTGCTATGTAGACTGCAATATAGTGAAAGTGATTGAGATCAATCTGTACCAGAGAAAACAAGGTCCTTCTCAAAAAATAAATGGGTGGACATGAAAAARATTTKKKTKKTTTTTTTTTTCTTASAATTTATTTTCAATAATTTTGATAGCTTGGTTGTTTTGTTTCTTTTTAAAGTATGTCAGTGGATCTAGCATGGTGCTCCATTTGGTTTTGTACTCATCCCAACATAAATATATGTGTATAAAATATATAAAATATGTATTATTTTGTATATAAAATATATATTTTAAAATTTATAAAATATATATATTTTTTTTATAAATAAATGTGTGTGCATTCACACCCATCACCACAGAAGGAAAATTCTGATCTTCCACAACTGGAACTCTAAATATATCCTGGGAAATTAATAAAATGTAATCTTTTCTATGTTTCCTGGGTTCTGCATTTTTGCCTCATTTATGAGTCTGAAAATACACTCTGCCACATGTATCTTGGAGTTTTCTTTGTGTTTGGTTTTTTTTTCCGAAATGGGTAGAAATATTTACGAGGTTAAATTTTTAAAAAATAGGCTTCTTTATTAGATCAAAGGTCATGTATTTCTCCAGTCTTAAGGTACATAAAATGAACTTTTTTAACCCCTCAGCAGGATGTTTCAATTGCAAAAAATAGAAAACTGATATTTTATTTGCCAATGCTATTTTCTCCCTTCAAATTCATTTTAATGAAGTTATTTCAGGASACATGTGACAGACATGTCACACGTAGTCTCGTGACTTGTAATTATTAATGTCAAGCACTTTATGATTAACTCCAACCTCTGTATGAATGAGATTTTCAGGCTTTTTGAAGCAATATCTGTTTTCTTGTTATTAAATTGTAGAGACCGAAGAAACCACCACCTCCATCAGCTCCTGTSATCAAACAAGGATCAGGTAAAGTGCAGTGAGCACATCTCAATCTAAATTAACTGCATGCAAATTTATATCTAGAATTTATTTATAGGATTCATCTGCATCAAAATTGATAAGCTGCTGTCTAGACAACAACTAATAAATCACAATCAAAYTGCAAATAGTTGGCAATGCTGACAGACTGTTGTGTGTGCTTTAAATGGATTGCAGTCAACCATTTTATTTATTTTAAAATAAATAAATAATCAGCCCCTTAAACCTTTGAAATCAGAGCAAGTGTGATWCTGCAGAGTTCAGAATTTCTTTGGTTTTGTTCTTTGACTGGGGTTGATTTTGTGAATGTCTTTGCAGTACAGACACAGTGTGTGGAGTCTGATAATAACCTGCAGGAGAAATTGCATTCACTATTTATTCTGGATTTATTCTAGATTTATTCTAGAGACAGGGCTTTTTAGCACGTCTGTAAAATAGTTTTCTCCAATCTTAAGTCTTGCAGATCTGCATGAATGCTGAATCTGGCTGCCTGTTCCAGGTTCCAGGCCACAGACTCCTGGTTTTCAATACTTTTAGAGCCTAAATATTAAACTAAAAGGACTTACCCTGAATTGTTATGATGTATTAAGGGCCTGATTCTATTTTCCATTCAGATAAGTGCTGGTAAAACAAAGAGCTGAACTTACTTGTATTTGTAGTTTTAAAACGACCTCTCAATACTAATTTTCAGAAGTGCCCACCAGATTTACTTTTATCATGAAACTTAGGAACATTTAAAATATCAACGCATKTGAAAGTTCTCAGCTGGGAAACCAAATTCCAGTTCCATTCATGTAAAAATACARATCACAAGGCAGGAGATGCTCTTARAGCTTTCATTTGTAGAAGCAAAACTATGGCAGGAATTCTTTAATCCCTTAAGTCCAATCAGTTTGTAAAAACTCTGCAGCAGCACTGCTGCTTCCCCCACTTCTGACACACTTTAAAAACCCAAACAAATGTGTTCAATCCCTTCAGATTGTTTTCTTGTTACTGTGATCAGTTCCAGCTTTTGAGGCTTTAAAAAATAAATTTTCTTCTCCTGCAGACTGAAGCTGTTAGCAGGAGAGCAAGTTACACCAATGTACAATTTACTGTGAATCAATATGTTATAATTTAACTAGTTTGAATTTGTCATGCAGTTCTTTGACTACAGAATCATGACCATAAATATTTGTGTTTCTTATTGACACCCATGGTTTGTTCTTCAGTCTGTTTTGTGACTCAGGAAAACATAAATTTGATTTTAATCAGGAACAGTGTCCAGAGAGAGCAGGATGACTTTGCCATCTAGTGGTGTTTCTATACCARCCTGCTGATGTTTTATAAAACATATTTTATAAAAACTCTATAAAACTTTCTATTTCTTTCAATGATACTGCTGTAATTAGAGAATGACACTTTYAATATGTACCTGCTGTCATACAACRCTTTAGATGTCACCATAGCAGGATAATGTGCCCATTTTCAGGAGGAAAAACGTTTGCACAAAAATGCTTACAATTTGATTAAGGCCATCAAGGTCGATATCAAAGACAAGATTATTGCAGTTCTTCTTTTCATACTCAGYCTTTGACAAGTCCTGGCTGATCAGGCACAAGAGTTTCTTCTGATACATATTTAGAGCTGAAAATCATCCTATGTTTATTACCATCCCTAAATTATTTCTTCACTGAGATTATTACTGTATTTTACCACCTCTCCATGTCAGGACTTRCTGTTGATAATAGGTAACAACTTCCAACACTGCTTCTGCTTATGTGACCAGGCACAGTGTGATTAATTCATTTAAACCTGTCACTTGCAGCCTAAATGATTAAATATCAGTGTCTTCTGATGCAGAGCAGAAAATCAGGTCTTTGTAGTACAAATGGCATTGTATAAAGATGTGTCTATATTACAGTAGAGAGAGAAGTTTCATTCTGCACAGCAGTAGGGCCTACAAAGCAAGGTGAAAACTGGAGACCCAAATTTAGGAGCACAAATCCCTTATATATAATCCCATATATATATATATATATATATATTTATATATTAAAAAGCAGTAGGAATCTCACTGGGTACTGGGTAAACATCAAAACTGTGTCCAGAGTAAAAGAATAATCCTGAGTTCCTCTGGGAGCTGATCCCAGAGCTTCCTTGCAGGTGAGTGTYAGCTGGGAGCTAAGGCAGGATCATGGTTTAATTAATCATTAATTAATTTGATTAATTTTGGGGGTCAGAATCCAAGTAGGGAGAACACCTAGAACACCTGAGTTTGGGAGCTCCTTGGTGGATCATTCTACCTGAGAATGTCCCTCTGGGTGTTAATGATGGCTGTTAATTAATACTGTAATTAAGTGAATAGATTTGGGTGTCTTTCTTCTTGAACACACCAGTGTGTGCAAGATTATCAAAATATTGGCTTGTGCTTTGCATAACATGGTTTTTGGAAGGATTTAATTGCTTTGCAKCAATGGCTTCTCCTCTCAGGAGTGAAGTCTTTTTCATAGCATCATTTAATTTGGAAAAGACCCCTAAGATCATCAAATCCAACCATAAATGAGAATTCAGTGTTATTTATTGACATGATAAGTGGTGCAAGGATTGCCTGTCCAGCACACACAGGAACAGAAGCAATGATCACCATGATGAGTGCTGATTTCTAGGGAGTGGCAACAGCACATTCAGAAAATGGAAATGTGCTTGAGAAGTGTAACTCCAATAGAATAGACTGAAACAAAAAATTGCCTTGTGTTTCTTGCCCTGCCTCCTCTGCATTTCTTGGATTCATCTACTGTAATTTTTATTGAAATGCTAATAATGTTACCTAAAGCAGTTTTCAACACTACAGAGTGGCATTAGCACCCAGTGCTGAGCCAGTGCAGCAAAGCCAATATCCAGTGGAGCATTTCTTATAACGTGAGGTTAGAACATTGCAGATTGCATGTGCCAGGAAATTTTTGCAAAATCTTCCCGTKGTTGGTGCCACGAGTTCCTGTATTTCTTGGAGCAACAGAAATCCATATGTCCAGAAGTACAGAGGCAAAAGAAGCCAGGGGTTTGCACCTCCAGGCCAAAAACTGTCAATTCAAATAGTCAGAATTGTGCCAGCACTGCTTTTCTCCTCCTTCTCATATGTGGAAGTGAACAGGTAATAGTGGAAAAAAAAGGGGAGGGATGAATTGATTTAATGTAAAATAAGCTCTGTGTATTCAGCTCTATGAAGTATTCTCATGATATTGCCCAATTAATTGATTTATTCCTAATGTTTCTGCTCAGTGTTGAGTTGGTCTTCATTTAAGTATGTCTTTAATGATAAAGATCTGTCTGTATTTAAAAATCTGCAGTTACTGATTTTTTTTTCCCATAGAATAGTCTGAAAGTGCCTATTCTTTTGGGGTGCTCACTTTGGAAACTGTGAACTTGATTAGAAAGACATAAATATTGAATTGCTTTTTTGTCATTATGGTGCAGGCAAATATTTGGTATAGATTTATGTTCAATTTTAGCAAGACATTTTCAAATTGGAGCACACAAAAAGCATAAGAAATTGCAGAATTAAATCTGATGTCACTGTATGTGCTGTTTCATTGGCTTGTGCAGAATTCCAAATTTTTCTGYCTTTAACAGGGACCACAGATCGAAAGCATGAAATCAAAAAGATTCCACCTGAAAGGCCAGAATGTCTTCCTAATCGAACAGAAGARAAAGGTATGAAATGTCCTTTCCTGCTGCTCTCTGCAGAAAAACCAGGGAAATAGAGCCAATGCACATCCTCATGCCCTCTTTCCATTAAGGGTTTTGTTTGGATCTTTGTTTTCCACTCTGATGACTGTTGATGCCTGATGATTTTTGCTTTTCCTTTTTACGCTTTCTGTACCCTCTGTGCATYCCCTGCACCYCTTAGCCCMCAYRTTTGTAATTCCTGATATTCCAGCTCAGTTTAGGAGTTCTGCTGGGCAGAGAGACCAAACATCCTGAGGAAGGGCTCAGTGTGCCCTGTG